TTCTTCTTCTTCTTCATTCGTATGCATACATATTGTTGGAAGTAATGTAGTTTATCAAGAAATTTCTAGGAAATATAACGATGTGACAAACAGATGAAATATTTATCCTGAAATTCTACTTGCAGGAATATTATATGCGAGAGTTGATATATCAAAAATAAGGAGAACCTTTATGTGTCCTCCAGTTTGCAGAACCTGTCACTATTGTGTAAATTGCTGCCACAACATTTCTTCTTTCCCTCCAACTTCGAAGATCAATATAAAATGCAATGTCTATCTTTTACAAGCAGAACCGTTACGCCATTGAGGAAATATGCACTATTACAGGTAAATGGGTCGTCCGAATCTGCTAGGTCAGCATGTAAGCATTATGATTTTAAGACCCCTGGCATTATTGGGTTTTATAAAAAATCAAGTTATCGTTCGCTTGCCTGATTTTCTGACATTCTACTTGATACTTGACAAAAAAATTAGGAGTTGTTGGCAACACTTGAAGCTATGGCAGACCCAAAACAAAAATTGAAACTGACGTCCACCGTGCTTTATTTACGCCCATTTTCCAAGGAGCTGATACGGACTGGTTATCCGTAAATTACTTCACCCAAAGTACGCTGAGGTTAAAAGACACATGAATAAAATGTCGATATATATATTTCCGTTGTAGAGACATTTTAAGTCGAAAACTATGCCAGATTCATAGATTCTGACGGAGTTGATTTCTGGAAAGCAAACAAAATTCCTGGCAAAAAAGCTAGTTTGTTGTCGAGATGGCTTTGCGAAACAAGTTCTGTATAGTCCGAATAAAAACCTAGTCTTCAGATAGCACAGACTCATACAGTTGGCACAAAAGTTTTTGGATCGCTGACGCCGTAAATCTCATCCAATCGGATCAAAATATGCTACTGCATTTTAGAAAAATTTAGCAGCTGCCTCAAATTCTTAAAGTGGTTGGGTGAATTGTAGCAATTGAGTAAAAATCTTTGTTCATCTTCAATTCTACTGAAAGTGTTTCCTCTCCTTCGTTAAGCGTCTTCCGCCGGACAATCCATGTTCATTCTCAATAAGTTCTAAGAGACGTTTACTTTCTTGGCAAGCATCCACTCTTATTGGAATGAATAAATGCTCGTTTTTTTTCCTCTTGCCTTCTCGAAGGTTTTCTACACATAAAAGTAACACCCAATTCTGCATACATAAAATGCAGCACTTCGCAAGGAGCCAGCTACAATCAAAAGTTCAACAGCATTTGCCGTCTTTGCCTACATTAAGAGAGAGCCAAATGACGTCAGTGGAGTTGTAAATACACCCACTTGAAAGTAAAATGGAGGATTTGCGTTTCTATGCACCTTAGGAAAGAAACATTTAAATGAACCTTGGGAATCATTTGGAGTGTATTTTTTTGTAAAGCCGCATAGAATGGGTCGCAAGTGCTTTCAGACGAAAGTTCTTCTCAATTGCGAGGAGCAATATTTTACTTCTCACTCAAGGTCACTCGCAGGTCATTGCGACACCATGATGATTTTTTTTCAGGATTTTTTTAAAATTGAAACCCACATAATACACAACAAAAGAACCTGCTGCTGCCTTCATCTAAGCCTCTGCGTCATCTGTTCACACAGTATAGTTTAAGATGATGTGGCCACAATAGCACGAGCTTATTTAACTACGACTTTTGATAGTAGGGTCATTATGCGATCAGGAAGTTGAGCTGAAATTGAAGTGGGTCAGGCCGGCTGCGGGTTCTAAGCCGATAGTATAGTCAGTTTTTGAAGGCTTGTGTCTTATGATCAAAAGGAATATAGAGCAAAGGTAGTTAAACTAGTGCACCTCATATACCCCCAGTCCCATCATTTTGTCCTACGGAAACGGTGGTTATAGGGGTTTTAGGGGGTGGGAAATTAGGATAAGCAGCAAAGGAAATTTGTAGAAGCAAGTGAAAAGTGGAAAAATGTAGGTAAATTTGTTTTTCGTAGCCGCTGGGAGTCACTTTTTAGCGTGTAAATTGAATGTGTACGCGGCGCTATGTGCCGCGGACTATACTAATCTAACTCCAGAACGTTAAGTTGGACCTCAGGTAAGTTATTGTAGACGACCTCTTAACCACCATTCCTATTTTTTCAGGAATTTAAAGGAACCTGCGTTTTAATAATTAGTTTTTTCCGCAATACGTTAAACAATAATACACGTTAGAAAAATCTACAGATATAAAGTAACAAGATTTCTAAATACAATAAAATAAAAATGCATAGAACAGTTACCAAAATTTATTCCACTGCCTGTCCGAATTCCCCACCCACAACCACCGTTTCAATAGGATAAAACGCTCGAACTAGAGGTATATTAGGTGCACTACTCAGTCTACTGCTGCCGTAAATAGGTCGACCCAAATCATTTCAGTTCTACATATTCACGCGCGCACTCATGTGTAGCTGAGCGCATTGGTCGTAGGCGTCGGAGTACGAGAATCTAATATATGCTCTCAGATTTCAAGTATCCGAGGTCATGAAACCAGGAAAAGTCACTGCTTCAATGGATACTGTCAGTGCCAGGCGGATAAACGGATCCAGTTATTTGCCCATGGAGAGCCCACGCGAAAACGCTGTAGTGCGATGCGTGGCAAGTAACACTGCTCATCTCTTTTAAACGCCCACTCACTGAGAAAATGCATTATCCAAACATCTCTTGGGTCCCCAAAAACAATCGGGATAGTGTGGCCCATAAAGCCCGTACGGCAGATATGATCTCCTTACATGGTCATGTAGTTAAGGATGCTTCAGAAAAAATTTTCAAAATGTCCCACAGTTAATTACTAGACGGGTGTATTCTCTAGTATCAAAGACATGAAGAACTCACTTTGAAGCCAAATGCAGTAAGCTTGAGGACGAATTCCACTGTAAAAACGCCTGTGAAGATCATGTTGAGGTAGTCCAAGGCATCAGCGTAAGCTGGTGGTTGACTTTCAAACTGATAAGGTAAAAAGCCAAGGAATTAGCGGAATATCTATTTGGTCATACAATAAAATACTGACTGAAATCTTTCCCTTAAGACTACACCTCTTTATTATGGATAATTTGTATTGGTAAATAGAAAAGGCACTTCAATCGAAGTTAGCTCAGAATGGGTCCAAACGGTGCTAAGTCGAAAGGAAAAACCATTGCTCGCTTACGAAAGACATGCCAGAAAACCGAATTCTTAGATATATATGAAAGGGAGCGTCCACTTTGTGCAGGAAACCATCAGATTTCAATCAATTATTTTACTCTGTTGATAATCCAATCTTGACATTGTGATATGTTGTCGCTCTTCTATTTCTTACACACCTTTTATTCTGTCACTTTCTGTGTGTCCTTTTGAGTAAACCGTAAGTTTTCAACCAGAACCTTGCCAGTTTCCTGTAAGTTTTCGAAACGAATTTCATCTGCTCTATGCTAATCACGTTCTGTTCACGTTATGAATTAGCAGGAAACACTTGTAGCACAGCCAAAATTATTCTTGACTCCAATAAATACTGACTGAAAATATAACAAGAACAAATGTTTGAAAATCGCAATAGATTTCGAATAGGCTTTATAGAGTCATAAGATGGGGAAAACTGAGGAGGCAGGATAACTGAACTACGACAGATTGTCCAGAGCTAGTGAAGTTTTCTGAAACCGTTTTGGGCAAGATGATCAAGAAATTGTGAGATATGTTCGGAAACACGAGTAAAACTTTAAAAGGTGGGAGAAAATTCATAAGATTACAATTTTTTAAAGTGTCTTCCGACCAAGTCAACGCTGGCGATTAATGACTGCGTCAAATCACATTCACTGTAATCTTATAATTTTAAAATTGTTCCGCAACATTTTTTCAGAAAAGAAGGTCCAAGCGAACTTATTATACATGAGGTGGCTTTATGTCCCAGTTTGGACTGTGCACAACAAGTCTTCTTCAAGTACTCGTTACATTACCTGCTTTTGTAACCTTGGTTCCACATGTCCCTACTTTACTCAACTGCACTCTTCTACGCTAAAAGTTCACTTATACCGAAATGTACGCCCTATAACTATATAACCCATAAAAAGCTACCTAACAAATGTTTTCTCAATTACTCCTTGAAAGGTCATCGTATTATCACATATACCTAAAGCAGTGTGAAATGTTTCCCGCGCAAATATGTTTTTTTCTCTCAAGTGACTTTTGATGCGCAGTTGAGGCACTTTTTTTCTGGAAAGTCAGCAAATGCGTGGATGCGCATCAGAATGAATAGGTAGCTGCACGCCAGCTTTCAGTTGGAAATGCGTACTAGCTTTTATGATTCGTTTCTTGTACTGAGCAGCTCAAGTTGAAGGAGGTTTCAACAGGTAATGCATTTCTCACCTTTCCCCTCACAAAAGCTTAGTATCAAATGACCTCACAAAACCCATTGAATATGCAGACTTTCTTTTTTCTGATGACCCTAACAGAATGGAACCGGAAGACCCACCCCTTGTTGAATTGCACTTCCGAATC